CTTAAGCCTGGCAGACCGTATCAAAAGACAGTCTGCGGCCCTAGAATTAAGCGAACGACGCCGAAACGGCGAAAAGAACCTTAAGATTAAGGGTTTTCGGGTTGTTCAAGTTCGCAGTTTAATGATCCCGAAACCTCTGTGGGTAGGCCGGGGAAGCACCAAACTGGATTAACAGTTTGCTACACAAACGCCGGCAGCCTGTTAAATAAACGGACTGAGCTGGTTAACATGATAGACTCCGGAAACCCGGATGTAATTATTATCACAGAGACATGGCTCACACCCGATGTCACTGACAGCGAAGTTAACCTGCCAAACTTCGAAGTGCATAGGGTAGACCGACTAAACCGCCAAGGAGGTGGCGTAGTCATTTACCTTAAGAAATGCTTAACCGTGCGTAGTATCGAAGCACTCGCTCACGAAAGTGAGTCGTGCGAACTTCTACGCTGCAGACTTAAATGCATAGGCCAAGACATTGACCTCATTGCTATGTACCGCAGTCCTAACTGCAGTGCAGATGACTTCCTGATAGCGAAGCTAGGCTCCTGGACCTCGAAATGTCGAAGTCTCGTAGTCGGCGACTTCAATGCCCCAACAGTTGACTGGACGAGCCTAACAACTCCATCCTCAGTCAACTCCTTTGATTATAAACTGCTGGAATCTAGTATATCGTTAGCTCTAGTCCAACATATCATCAAGCCCACGCGCTATGACTCACAGCACTCCTCCTCAACTCTGGACCTAGTGTTCTCCCATGGTGAGGATGTAGATCTCATACAGCATCTTCCTCCTTTAGGAAGAAGTGACCATGCTGTGCTCACTTTCAAGTTCACAGCAACGGCAGCAAGGGCCAAAACCCCATCTCGACCAAACGTTTGGAAAGCTGATATAAATGCAATCGTCTCAGCAGCCAACTCAGTAAACTGGTACATCAACCCAGAGTCTCAAGTAGAAGCCGCATGGAACCAATTTAAACAACTTTACGCCCAAGTAACTGAACCTTTCATCCCTTGGTCTGTCCCAAAGGGTCGGAAACACTGCCCTCCTTGGATAAACCGAGAGATTCGTAAGTTTCTTAGACGTAAACACAAATGTTGGAACTTGTTTGCCACACTTGAGACTTCTGAGACCAGGCAATTATATAACACTGCTAGAAATAAAGCTATTGCAGAAATCCGCAAATCAAGGATGAAATTCGAAGCACACCTGGCTCAAAATGCAAAGGCACAACCTAAGAAAATTTTCTCGTACATGAACTTCAGGAGTAAAACATCCAATGGTGTCCCAAACCTGACTATTGACAATGATACAATCGAAGAAGATCAAGAAAAAGCAGAAGCAATGGCAAACTACTTCTCCCAAGTCTTCACTCAGGAGTCGTCACTGCCTACCGGATCAGCTCTGGCTGCATCAGAAGAACATGGGATAGATTCCGTTGACATCGACCAAGGCATCGTGCTCAACTGCCTAATGAAACTAGATTCAGGGAAATCAATGGGTCCTGATAATCTTCATCCAAGGCTTCTCAAGAAGCTATCAGCACACATAGCCGGCCCTTTGACTACGATCTTCAAGCTTTCTCTCCAAAATGGAGTGTTACCGCGTGACTGGAAAGACGTCATAGTAACCCCCATCCACAAAGGAGGATCAAGGCAAAGCCCTTCAAATTACAGGCCTATCAGTCTCACCAGCACTTTAATTAAGACACTGGAGAGAATCATCAAGAAAAGCATAATGGCATATCTAGAAAACAGAAGCTTATTATCAAGAGCACAGCATGGCTTCCGAAGGAACCTCTCATGCCTGTCAAATCTTCTCACTGCAAGAGAAAGCTGGGTTAAATCCAGGGACAACAGAAGACCCGTTGACGTCGTCTTCATAGACTTCAGCAAAGCCTTTGATAAAGTACCTCACAAAAGACTACTCATGAAGTTGGAAAGTCTTGGTATCAAAGGCAGCTTACTAAACTGGCTCAGGGAATTCCTCATAGATAAGAGGCAGAGGGTTAGGATCAACTCGAAACTCTCCTCTTGGACAACAGTACGCAGCGGAGTGCCACAAGGCACGGTACTTGGACCTCTCCTATTTATTTTGTATATCAATGAGTTATCTCTGCTCACCGATTCCCCTATGGTCCTATACGCAGATGACTTAAAAATTTGGAGAGAGCTGAAGGGCAACAGTGACACGTTCACGTTGCAAGAGGACCCCAACAAATTGTCAGAGTGGTCCATAGAATGGATGCTCCCGATAAACGTGACAAAATGTGCAACCATGCGCATTGGACAAGCAAGCACGAGCTCTTATGAACTAGAGGGAATTACACTTCCATCAGTTCAGACTTACTTGGACTTAGGTGTCATAGTTAGCCACGACTTAAAAACTACAGCACACTGTCGCGCGGTGGCTGCACGTAGTTTCAGGTCATTATGGGCAATTCGTAGAGCCTTCACTAGAATCACCAGAGATATGTTCACCTCCTTATATACATCTCTGGTGAGGTCAAGACTGGAAAACTGCATCCAGGCCGCCAGCCCTTGTCTAAAAGGGGACTCACTTATTCTAGAAAGGGTTCAAAGGAAAGCAACACGTATGATTCATGGCATGACTAACTTATCATACGAGGAAAGACTAGACAGTTTAAATCTCTTCTCCTTGTCATACCGTAGGCAGAGAGGAGATTTAATCT